TAGCTTCAGACATCAGAATGGGGAACAAATGTGATATCGGTGATTGACCATAACAGATAAGCTGGTTTGAGTATTTCAGATTCTGCTGCTCTTCTGGGATTTTCAGCCAATCCATTCTCTAGAGTTTACACAGAATGGTAGAAAAAGGCATCCAGTGAGCAGTGATTCTGCAGGCAGAAATACCTTGTTGAAGAGAGAGGTCAGAGGAGAATGGCCAGACTGGTTCGAGCTGACAGGAAGTCTCTGGTCACTCAAATAACCACTCTTTACAGTTGTGGTGAGCAGAACAGCATGTCAGAATCCACAACACACTGAACCTTGAGGTGGATAGGCTACAACAGCAGAATCTGCCTCGTGGTTCAGTGTGTTGTATGTTCTGGGATGCTTTCCTGCTCACCACGGTTGTCAAGAGTGGTTATTTACTGTATCCCTCCTGTCAGCATGAACCAGTCTGGCCATTTTCCTCTTACCTCTCACTGACTGTCATAATCACTAAGATGATATATTTCAACATTCTGAGGTGTGACGTGAACATTAACGGAAGCTCTTGAACTGTACTGTATCTGCATGATTCCATGCATTGTGCTGCTGCTGCATGATTAGCTAGTTGGATAACTGCATGAATACACGACTGATAAAGTGGACAGTGATAAACTGGTTTGTTAGTATAAAATAAATTTGTCTATTACTGGAGTGGAAGGAGGCAGGGCTGTCGGAACTGGAACTCCTCCTAGTGGTGGCTGCGTAGCATCTCAGAAACAGAAGTAACTTTAAGAATAAAACTGCAAAAAAAAAATAAATAAATAAACAGAAGTTAGTTTGAAATAATGAGTAGAATTTTGGTTAAAACAGTGGGTAGTTTTATGTTTAATTTTTAATTATTGACAAAATTTCTTGAGGAAACATTGGTCAACCAAGCAGCAGAAAAGGATATTGGATTTTTCAAGTATTGTTTCAAAGACAACTATAATGAATGATATTAATAAATATTAAGGTTAACAATACTAAAACCTCCAGAGACAACAGCCAGCTCTGAACAGTTTTTATTTGTTTCAGTCCCTGTGTGTGTGTGTGTGTGTGTGTGTGTGTGTGTGTGTGTGTGTGTGTGTGTGTGTGTGTGTGTGTGTGTGTGTGCACGCATTGAATATGTCATTACTATGGAGTTAATTTTGTGCCAAAGCTTTCAAATAAAAAAAATAAGATCCACAAGCAAAATATTAATGATCAAAATATATATATGCAAGTAATGAGAATCAGATCAAAATTCCAAATTCAAATTCAATTTGACTCACTCTCATTTTGCTTCAATTTTTTTCTATATGCGGATTTTGGTTTATAATATTTAATACGAAAAAACAGCATGTGCTCAGCGAAACATTTTATCTAGCCAAAAGATTCAGCTGCTAAACCAGCTGCTGTGTAACACTCCAAAGCACACACAACACAGAATAAAGCAAGACAATAAGAAATGTTTAGCTAATTTATTTATAAATACACTTAACGCTATATTTTTGAACGTGACTCGGGGTATCTGTGCCGATTCAGCCACGAGAGCATTAGTGTAATCAGGTATAGATGTTGGGCGAGGAGGCCTGGAGTGCAACCGGGGCTCTAGTTCATCGCAAAAGGTGTTCAGTGGGGTTGAGGTCAGGGCTCTGTGCAGGACACTCCAGTTCTTCCACTCCAACCTTGGCAAAGGATGTCCTCATGGAGCTCGCTTTGTGGACAGGGGGCGTTGTCATACTGGAACATGTCTGGGCCTCTTAGTTCCACTCGAGGGAAATCTTAATGCTACAGTATACGTAGACATTCTAGACAAAAAACAAAACGGTAAATCTGGGCCGGCTGTGTAACCATGCCCATAACACGGCTGCAAAAATAATAAAGAACAAAACTAAATAAATCAATGATAATCATAAGCATCTGAACTATCAGTGAAAATGACGAGTAGGCATAAACCTAAATCACCCTCGTTCAGTCTATTTACCTGTTTATTTACGTCTGAAACTAAGAAGGAACTATTATTTGAGGCGTCAGGAATGTAAGCGTGTGTCCTGTGAAATTCTCAGTATAAAGGAAAAGTGTCTCTTGGCTGTTATTCTGTTTTAATATTTTGACTTCGATAAACTCTTTATGTTCTTGTGTCCTCTGTCCAGACTTCTGACATAGTGACCTGTTGGATTTCTCTCTGTGGAGATTCCCAGGAACTTTGCAGTAAAGACCAGCAACACGTCACTTCATGGAAAATACAGTTTATTTGCACAGATTATACCTAAATATGGCACTTAGTAGATCTGATTTTGCTTGCTAATATACTCTGCCCAGTGCCTTAATCTCCAAAAGAGCAAGAGTGGCGAGGAAAAACCCCATGTTACATTTACGTAGATGAATTGATGGAGAAATTATGGAGAAACCTCCGGCTGTCCTCCTCAGCTGGCATTGGGTGCTATAGTTAAACGAGCACTGTAACTAGGGTTGTGCGATATAACGAGATTAACGTCCCTATAAGATATCCAGTGATGTTTATCGCAGATTATATTACCAAATCTGCCAATGACGTCATTTCAACCTGTGAACCACTTTCACAGTTTGGAAAGACACTTTCTGGAAGCCACACCCCCTTCCCCCATCTCCATGCTCTGGAAAAGAACCAGGTTAAAAAAAAAATTAAAAAAAATAATCTCACAACCCTAGCTGTAACATAACTGTAATACATGTAAGACCAAATTTGATGTAAAATGGCTAAAACAGGAAAAGTTCTTGTCACATTAACAAATCCTCTCTTATTGCTATGTACGTTTCCTGCTTACGAGGCTGCTGATAGAGAGGTGAAAAAGATGCAAGTTTTGTAAGGATACATCCGTCTCAGAGAACTTCTCTGCCAACAGCTACAACCAGGGAGGGCAAAGGCTATCCCGTCCTTCCTCAGAGCCAGCTTCTTTTCAAACTGCTGCACGTGCAACGTCAGGGGGTGGCGTAACACACGCAGGAGTAAAGTGCTACTCCCACACGCATGAGCTCACAGACACCCATGATTGGCTAGTGTTGCTGTGATTGGTATAGGAGAGAGAGGATGTCACCACTCCCTCCCCGAGAGCACGGCAAATTTTGCTCTCCGGCCACGGATCGGCTGTGGCATCGTCAGGCTTCGAACTCGTGATCTCAAGATGCTCTGGTGGTTGATGTGTGTACTTCTTTGCAAATGGACTGTCTGTCCTGATGTGATGAGGTTGAAGAATTTGCAGTTATCTTCATATTCAGACATCCATGGAGTATGGGGCGCCAAATGTAAAAAGTTGCATACTGACGTTGCTTTCCCAAACAAGCTTCATTAATTACTCTTTGTAATCTACAGTGGATATGTTTATTTTCTGGATATCTTTATATGGATTATTAATTATTTGGATATACACAGATCAGCCATAACATTAAAACCACCTGCCTAATATTGTGTAGGATCCCTTTGTGCTGCCAAAACAGCTCTGAACTGTGGAGGCATGGACTCCACAAGACCTCTGAAGGCGTGCTGTGGTATCTGGCACCAAGACGTTAGCAGAAGATCCTGTCCTGTAAGTTGCCTCCATGGATCGGACTTGTTTGTCCAGCACATCCCACAGATGCTCGATCGCATTGAGATCTGGGGAATTTGGAGGCCAAGTCAACACCCTGAATGCTTTGTCATGTTCCTCAAACCATTCCTGAACAATTTTTACAGTGTAGCCGGGCGCATTATCCTGCTGAAAGAGGTCACTTCCATTAGGGAATACCGTTGCCATGAAGGGGTGTACTTGGTCTTCAACAATGTTTAGGTAGGTGGTACGTGTCAAAGTAACATCCACATGAGTGCAAGAACCCAGGGTTTCCCAGCAGAACATTGCCCAGAGCATCACACTGCCTCCGCCGGCTTGTCTTCTTCCCATAGTGCATCCTAGTGCCATCTCTTCCCCAGGTAAGCAATGTAAAAGAAAATGTGATTCATCAGACCAGAGCACTTTCTTCCATTGCTCCATGGTCCAGTTCTGATGCGGTGGACAGGGGTCAGCATGAGCACTCTGACTATTCTACAATTACATTAACCTTTTTCAGCAAATTGTGCTATAGACTTCACTCCCCAAGCATCATTGAGCTTTGAGCACCCATGACCCTCTCGCCATTTCACCGGTTGTCCCTCCTTGGACCACTTTTGTTAGGTACTAACCACTGCATATGGGGAACACCCCAGAAGAGTTGCTTTGGGGATGTTCTGACCCAGGTAGCTAGCCATAACAATTTGGCCCTGGCCACAGTCGCGCAGATCATTATGCTTGCCAATTCTTCCTTCTTCCAACACATCAACTTTGAGAACTGACTGTTCACTTGCTGCCTAATATATCCCACCCCTTGGCAGATGCCACTGTAACGAGATAATCAATATTATTCATGGTACCTGTCAGTGGTTTTAATGTTATGGCTGATCTTTGTATTTATATTTATGTGTCTTTTATTTACATCACAGAAACCTGCAATTTTAAGGGGATGTCTTAAAATTTTAAGTATTTTTATATATACACTGTATCTGAATAAAGAGCATTCAAAATTTTACATTTGGCACCCGGAGACCTGCTGTGGAGAGGAGATAGAGAAAGTTCTGCTTGATCATCTGCTTGATTATTGTATGATATGCAAGCTGTGTTAAAGTGTAAGGGTAAGCCTCTAGCAATGTCTTGTTTATAACTGGGCTGAGATATGATGTTATAAAAGGTCATGACTTTGTAGACTGTTATGAACACCCTCAATGAAGTTGGCACCTTGCAAGTACTATTGTACTGTGCTGCAGTACTATGGTTGTGTGTTGTGATGAAATACCTTTTAAGCTGTTCCGTGGATCTGTCGGTACAGAGTAACATTGAAATGAGCAGTGCGGATCTGTAGAAAAGAGAGTAAAGGTACAGAGTGATGAACGAATGACTACAAGTATTCTGACTACAGTATCATATCATATAGAAGATAATTGAATGGGGTCCCTGGAGGACTAGTGGTTAGGCTACAGCGCTCACCACTGTGGCCCGGGTTCGATTCCTGGCCAGGGAACCGACCCCAGTCACTGGTGCTGCACATGACAGTGCACTTCCAGTGCCGGTCCCGAGCCCGGATAAAACTGGGGAGGATTGCGTCAAGAAGGGCAGCAACCATCGTAAAAACTGTGCCAAATCAAATATGCGGACCAATGACCCTCTGTGGCGAGCCCTAACAGGAGCAGCTGAATTAATAGACCCATTTGGTCCTATTCATGGGACCCAATAGCTTGCACAGTTTTGTTTGGCTAAACAATTAAATAATCATGGTTTAATTATAATAGTTTAATTATCATAATTATCATAATGCAGTCTGTCCTGAGATGAAGGTGTGGCTGTGGGGTGTGTGTTTCACTAAGCACTTAAATGTGCACTAACTGCGAAAAAAAACACCCAACTTGTATTGTTTTCTCTAAGAGAGTTTTAGATTTAGAATATTCTTAGCCTCTGATCTACTCGTACTAGCATGAAGTATGTTGCTCTGGATAAGAAAGTCTGCCAAATTCTGTAAATGTACTGTAACGGAGTTTGGAAATCAATGTAAGTACTACTGTATCTGCCAGTTTGTGATGATCACAGAGTTTTATATTACCTTCGGACCGTAGACGGCCTGGTATTCGGTGCGTGGATGCTTGTCTCCAAACAGAGTGGCGGGTGTGCTCTGAAAGACTGAGGCCAAAGGGTGTGCAGTCTTCTTCAGAGCACGAGGTGGGTGCACAACTTGCGGGAAACCAAAGTTTCCCGTGTACTCAGTCACCCACTGAGACCCGCTATAGCAACGAGACAGAGTCAGAGTTAGAGAAATCAAGCTAATCTCGGAATAAAGTATACAAACTGTTGACTCCAGAGAAATTAATAATGGCAAATTAAAGATGACTCAGTCAATGCTTTTTTGAATAGTTACCATGGTGTGTTCATGTCGGCTTGATGAGCCTTTACACGCTCTAGAGTCTCCTGCTGGGCTGGCCGCAACGCACGTCCTTCAAGAAAACAACCAATCAGTGTACTAGAAACACATCAAAGGTCCAATAGGACAAAGTTTAAACACTTGTATTGGCATACATCTACACATTTAATATCAGTGCCTTACAGTATTGTATTTTATTTCAGTGCTGTATTGCTTCAGAAGTTGTTTTTAAATGTTAAGACAAACCACTGAGATCATACACACATGTGCTTGAACCTTTTAGGCTTATACTTTTCAATTCTGACGTATCGTAGCATTTTTATACGTTTTACAACTTATGATACAGGAAACCTTGATGTGTAAATCTCAGATATGGATGAAATTTAGCATACTGATAATCCTCCCTCAAATGATTGTTAGTGTTTTGAGAGTTGATGTGCAATACTGTGGGTCTGCAGGACTGGGAGCAAGGATCAAGGCTTTATTTGGCACTATTTTAGCATGTTTCTTTTTTTCAAAATCATCTTTTACTGCAGTTCTAAAGATTGGTCTTCCTAATTATGACTCTAATTTAGCTCAGGGGTAAGTGTGTAATGTAATGAAGTATGCAGTATCTTCCTAAAGACCACACAGATCTCTAGATCAGGGTAGACAGGTAGATGTGTTCACAGCCTTATAGAGATGCTAACTGCAATTGTTTCAGTATGGTTAATGGAAGGTAACACTCGTTGTGATGTTGCAGCGGTGTGAGAGGTACCTCTTCTGGGGACAATGGGCGGAGCAGGAGCTCGGAGCTTGAGGAGGCGCTCCACCTTAGCGGCGAGAGCTTCCTGAGCATTTCCAGAAGCGTTAATCTTCTGTACACCAGGCTGCTCTAGGAGCTCTTCTCTTTTTCCTTTAAGACCACAGCAAAATACACATCATTCAAGACTGTTTATATTGTTTCCAGCTGCTATTTCTCTTTACTATCCATTACTTATACAGATTTTATCAAGAGGATTGCACAGATTGTGTTATTAGGCCCTGAATTTGGCCCAATTTCAGGACGATAAACTTGCGCTGAATGGCAAAATGGCAAACTTCTACTATATAATGTGACTTTATCTCATAGGTGCCTGATAGAGTTTATATTAATATTGTTTTTACTTGAGAGAGCAACAGTTTTGATGGCGTTAAATACCAGCTGTTCTGTTAATGTTAGTATTTACACACCAGGTAGAGCTTTTGTGGATGCTGTAGAAGAAGAATCCTGAAGATGGGTTGCCTGTGGATGGCGGCGTAAGCTCTGATTTTTCTGTGAGGAAAGAGAACACAATAGGTATAAAGTATGACGAATAATTTGATCATTTTAATCAACACAAGGTAATGTGCTATACCAGGGCCATTTCTTGCTGTAAGCTGTATAAGTGGCTGCTTAGGGCCCCTGGACCACCTGAGGGCTCTCATTATTATTATTAGAAATATTATTTCAAAATATTTGGCCTCTTTGTGGTGTGAAAAGAACAGAAACTACAATTTACGTAACTAAGTTAGATAACTAATATAACTAATGTGAGAAGGTCACAAGGAATTAGCAATCATGAAGATTTCACATCTGTATAATTCTAATTTTACAATCAGCATCAGCAAACCCAGAGGTGAAAAATACAGCGGATATATATGTTAGACATTAGCTGACTTCTAAGAAGAGCAGTCACTCCAAATTACCTCATCCTGCTGACTGCATCACTCCAGTATTTTTTTTTTTTTTTTGTCAAAAGTGTTCAGAACAATGCAGTTATTTACATTTATTTATAAGTATATATTGACTGAAGATCATATAACCATAACCATATTTTTTTTAACAGTGATGAGTGAGGAGACAGGATTCAGATTCCTGATGTTTTTGCTTGGCACATCTTCGGATCACCATACATCCATTTTTCATACTGTTTATCCTCCAAAGGGTCACAAGGGAGCCTGGAGCACATGGCAGGGTTCCAGCCCATCACAGGGTGCAATCACACACACAGTGGACAGTTTGAAAATTACAGTCAGCCTACAGCACATGTGTTTTTGGGACTGGGGAGGAAACCAGAGTACCCAGAGGAGCATGCGGGCTCTGTGCACGGAGGGCAGGGGCAGGATTTGAACCCACAACCCCAGAGGTGCAAGGCAAACGTGCTAACCACTATACTATCATGCCCCTCCCCCTTTTATCACCAATACAGGTTATATAGTCTAATATAAGTGTTAATTAAGTTGAGTTAATATAAGTGCCTGATGTTAGTTTGTTTACAAACTTGGCTACTGGTTTACACTATATAATATTTAGCTTGTTGTTAGCTAGCTTGACAGTGGCCCTGTTACTAGTTAGCTTAAAAAACTGATTATTTTATGATTTTTTTTTTTTTGCTCCAATTGCTAAAGTGCACATCTGTCTTGTACAGATCCTGTCTCGCATTTAGACCTGCACCTCAGTGATGTGGAGGAAAATAAGGGACAAATCGCAGCATTCATTATATTTTCTAATACAGGGCAGTTGCAGCACTGTGTCATTAAGAACCATTTGCTAAACCGTGGCATATTGAATAGTCAAAAATGTACAACTTTACCTTCGTTATCTTGAAAGTGTGAGTCATTTCATCAGCAGGTCTGTTCACCTGAAACATGTCTGTTCTCTTCCCAAAGTGCGACCTGAATGGTGTGTGCATTTCGGCTTTTTATATCGAAGACTGTGCACCTGTAGTGACGCCACAATCGTTACACGTCACACACGGTATTACGAAGCAATGGACAATTCTATTGTTATTCGACGTCATTTACCTTTTATTATAAATTTCTTCCTGCCAAAACTTTTTGACATACGAAACAAGACCAATGCCAGATTGTTCGGTCTGATTTATTATTTTTTTACAGTACTTTTTACTCCTGATTCAGCCACTTATGCAAAAAAAAATTGTGCTTTTTTTGGAACGTTTAGCCCCGCCCACTCAATTTTTAAAAAAAAATAATTTGATTAATATGTGAAGCTAAATTTTGCAAACTATTCCTAGGATTTTTGCCAGATCTTCCAAACCGTGGTGTCAATTTACTCAGCAGAGTCTGCCCATCAATAATCAATAAAAATCTGTGGACATGTGAAAACAATGTGGTCGACGCCTACCAATCAATCATTCCAAGGCGGGGCTTAATTTACACAACCAGCTATAACACGTGATCTGTTAGAAGGATATGCAGAAAATTTATATTAGGCATGTAGGCATATTCAGTGCTAGAGTCCAAGGCCATGTTCTAAAGTTGGGGTGTGGTCACCCGCCGGGGGCGTGGTTAATTTCAAGTGCATTTTTCGTGCATATCATATGTCTGATCAAGCTGAAATGTTCTTACAACCACCTAAGAGCAAGTTAGGAAACACCTGCAATACCACATGCACTGCCTGATAGTGCCCTATCAACCCCTTAGCACCACCAGGGAGTCGTGTTGGCTACGCAAGCCCTCTGCATTTTCCTCAGGAAATGCACTTTTCCAGTTATTATTATTATTATAAACTAAATAATACAATTGAAAAAAAAAACATTTTTTTTTGCATTGACAAGCATGGTGGCTTAGTGGTTAGTACTGTTGCCACACACCTCTGGGGTTGGGGGTTTGAATACTGCCTTCACCTTGTATGTGTGGAGTTTGCATTTTCTTCTCATGCTTCGTGTACTCCAGTTTCCTCCCCCAGTCCAAAGACATGTGACTGATTGGCATTTCCAAAATTGCTCGTAGTGTGTGAATGGGCGTATGTGTGTGATTGTGCCCTGTGATGGGTTGGTACCCTGTCCAGGGTGTCCCCCACCTTGTGTCCCAAGCTCCCTGGAATAGGCTCCAGGCTCCCTGTGTAGGATCAGCGGTACAGAAAATGGATGGGATGGATTATGTTTGTGTTTAGAGATCAGATGCTGCTAGCAGAGTGAGATGCATTAGTATATTAGACCACAGGATCACTATAAAAACAAACCATTTCTACTGGTTACAGTAGTGTTACGTTTATTTCTCAGTTTAATTTCTTGTACTGCTATAACAACATCAGCAATCAGCTACTTTTGGATTATCCTGATTATACAGTATGTTTCATATAATTATGACTGAATAAGCATGAGCATTGGTAAGAACATGAAGATGTATTTTGCGAACACCAAACACAGTTATACTCATAAACTAATTTGCATATTTTTGCAGTTTATACATCATGATCACTGGCAAATCAAATTTCAAATTAGGGTACATGAAGAAGAAATATTTTCAGTGATTGATTCCGGTATATGACCTCAAGCTTGTTTGTGCATTTTTGAGATTTGCCTGTGTCCTATGGTTTCGACTACAGATTGTATATAGTTCCTACTGTGTACGTATTGTAGTGTTTGTATATATTTGTGTATATATGTTACCCATGTCACTGTTGTACGGTTTGTACAGTTACTTGCCTTAATTACTTGTAAATATCTCCAACAAGAAAGTTTAAAGGGAAGAAATGCAAGCATGGGACAAACAGTGGCAATCAGTGATTACCTTAGATCTCTATTGGCCAGCTCTGAATCTTAGCCACACCCACTCCATCAAAGGGAGAGCGTCCCCTGACATGGCAGAACGAGCTGAATGCAGCGGATAAACTGTATTGTAGTTGCATTAAAAGCCTAACAAAAGTAATGAGTAGCTACTGAATTGTTTGTAGATGCATTCACACATGTTTCTTTATCATACACGTGTCTTAAATTTTGAGTGTCAGAGGACGCTCCGTCGTTAATTGAGTGGGCGTGGCTATCTGACCAATAGAGATTTAAGGTGAACCTTCTTCTAAGATTCACAAATAGAAGATCCACACTAAAAATGTGCCAAAAATCAAAAGAACAATGGGAACTTGTTGGAGAAATAAGATAACAAAGTTAATGGTCCATGAACAGGATGTTCAGATAAATTTCATCTCGATGCAGCGATTTGTCAAATAGCTATTAAAAAAAAAAGGATGGCTCAGTTCAAATAATGTGTTCATCAATAATAAGAATCAGTAGATTAAAACATTATATTGGTGTTTAATTTTTATCTAATTTTTTTCCTGCTGCACTCTTAAAGTGCTCTTTGACCCGGCGTAGGCCTGTTTAATCTTAGTTCCAGCAATAGTGCTTGAGGCCAGCATGAAAACATCTGGACACATGTGTTCATGAAGAAACAGCAAGAAGTGACAAACAAGCCTGACCTGTTTCTTTCCCAAGCGTGGCTAATGGTGTTGTGGTGCCCCCTATTGGAAGTGCAGCTCAGTCACAAATTGCTGAGTCTCTCAGATTGATCTTCTGTACTTTAGCTAAAAGATCCCAGATATCAAGTCGTCTTGGATAAACTTGTGTAAGCGTCAGCTTGACCCCAGGGTTAGCTCCGAACTAGATGAGCTCTTCCCTCCCTCACACACACATATCGTGGTCTTCTTCTTCTTCTTCTTTTTTAACACACACACATTTCTCATGATTTAGGCTGGGGTCCGGGGGATGGATAATGTCAATTAGGTTACTCATGTAACCAATTAGTTTTAGAATAAAATCTGCCTATTATTTTTATACCTTATATGTTGTATTGACCTTCAATTATCCACCATTAGGATACAGGTAGGCTATGTGGATTAGAATACAGTGAGAGCTTGTGTCCTAAATCAAACGCCAGGACAGGTTTAAGGTTTCTTGTTGGCATCACACCTGATCCAGCATATCAATTCATTATTAAACCTTGCTTGAGTTGGATTAGGTGTGTCAGATGAGGGGAAATAGTGAAACTGTACAGGGCAGTGGATTTCCAGCACTGGAGTTGAGAAACTCTGTCCTAAATCCAGTTACTGGATCACCATGGTTACACTGTAATCAGGTTTGACATGCCCAAATCACTTGATCCTTCAAGTACCCGGATGACCTAATCTCTCTCTCTCTCTCTCTCTTAAATCCAATGAGCTTTATTGCCATGACTTTATAGGTTATAGCAGTTACAAGTTGCCACAGCACTGAAATGATCGATCTTTCTCTCTTTTTTTGTGCAAATGGCAATAAAATGATGGAAAACATAGAGCAAAAACAAATACATATGAACAAATAATCACTCATTCAATCTGCTGAACTAAGTATGGACATCTTCACGGAGCAGGACGTCCAAAAGGTGAGTCAAACCTACATTCTTTAAGTCTTCTCTAGCAAATAAGGGTATAACTACGTATATCAGAAGGCCATGTCCACATTTCTGGCCTTAGAATTATGAGAATGTCTGATATTTGGACTTGTAAGAAGCCCTGACTCTACCCTGGAAACATTGTTGGACCGCCTGGTTTAACACAACTACTTCTACTAACTAATCAACTTCTTACCTGCTGTCTCTGAGTATCACTGCTAAATGACAGAGGAAATGATAGCTAACATTATTCATCTGTTTATTTAATCAGCTGCCATTTGTGCAAACTAATTAGTGCATACCTGTGTGCAAGGGGGCATTGTGAAACATATGTTTTTCATTTGGGATAAAAAACAAAACAAAAACAGAAATACCAAAGAATTTCACAGACACATTACAATAGTCCTGGAGGGGCTTTGGGTGCTGGATAACTTTCTGCACAAGTCGTTGCATTCCCTTTTAGAAACAAATTTCACCTCAGTTCAGATTTCTTTGATTTTGTGCAAACTCTATAGACTGTTGTTTGTGAAATTCCTAGGAGATTAGCAGTTTCTGGAATACTCAAACCAGCCCATCTGGCACCAACAACCATGCCACAGTTAAAGTCACAGAGATCATACTCCCCAATATTCCCCATTCTGATGTTGGATATCAACATTAACTGAAGCTCTTGATCTGTATCTGCATGATTTTATGCATTGTGCTGCTGCCACATGATTGAATGGTGGGATAACTGCATAAGTGCAGGTGTTCCTATTAAAGTGGACGGTGAATGTAAAATTGCTTCTTAGGAAACTGAACGATTGCAAGTCTCCAGGGAAAAATGGGATTCCTATATAGGTGTTAAAGGAATTTAATGAGGAGTTAGCACCAGTTATTAATGCACCTTTAGGGAATTTAAAAAAAAGCATCCTGCTCAACGAAATTAGATCTTCTATTAGAGGCTCACAACATGGCTTTATGAAGAATAGCTCAACTGTCTGCCTTATTGCACGCTGCAGTATGGTTGGCAGA